CCCGCCCCACCATGACCCGCCCGCCGTATCGCCGCGACGCCAGCTCCGCCCTCTCCACTGGCAAAATGTTAAAGAAATGAGTGTAGAGTAACTAACAAGTTTTAATAATTCAGACCTGAATATATTTTAAATGTCCATGTCATGTATTTGTCAATATCCACATTTCAGAATTCAAAATTTTCATGGATGTTGAAACATTTCATTCTAGTCACCTCTGAAAAGTAGACCTATTTTGAAACTAAGTGGGGCTGTGCCCAAGGATTTCAGATAAAAAATAAACTAATTAGTTTTCTACTTAATGGACTCAGTTTTAGAATTATATAGATTTTCTCTACACATGCACAAAAATACTTTTCTCTTCTGAATACTATGTTGTGTTTTATTTTATGTTATATGTTGTGTATTATAATTTGTTGCATTATGCCCTTAAGAAATAATTGTTTGTTTGTTTGTTTTTAAGGTCCCACTAAGCCAGTATTGCAATCGGGCTATTATGAAGTTGATGTACTGCGCACATTGCCGGGGCATGTCAAACGTTAAGCCATGTAACAGTTATTGCCGCAATGTCTTGAAGGGCTGCCTGGGCAATCATGCTGACCTGGACACTGAATGGAAGAACATGATTGGTAAGAGCTACAGATGTTTCCATGTAAAAAATTCTCTCATTGAGCTTTTTTTTAGAGCTCATGTTTCCCCTTTTAATCAAGAGATTCAAGTTTGGAGATCAATTGATAAATGCATTAGAGGAATATTTTAGAAACCTTCAAAGCACCACTTCTTCCCTTAGACCAGCCTTACCCAATATAATTCTTCAGATGTCTTGGAATTCCATTGTTTCCATAATGGATTATGAGTGTTTGAAATTTAGCACATCTGGAAGACACCAGGGTATGGAAGCTTCAAGTATACACCAGTATCATGGACTGGATGATTTTAAGCAGTTAAAAAATTAATAATGGCTTTAGAAAAAACAGTTTTTAACACTGAGTAAAAAGTTCAGTCTCCCTGAAGTTGAACTCTACTTCTAGTAACTACATGGGCACATTCATGTAGAAAAAGTTTTAAAATGGAAAAACACTTCTCAAGTATAATTATAAAATTTTGTTTTGTATGCTGCTAATTAAATATTCTTAGATTTATTATGTCACTCTATCCTTATGACTTTTCTTCTGAAGGGGACAATATTTAACTCCTTTTTGTCAAGACATAAATTGATCGATTGATTATATGCCATCAAGACGGTATTAACTCTTAGCGACCACATAGATAGATTTTCTCCATGATGATCTGTCCCTAACTTGGTCCTTCAGGTCTTCCAACAGTGCACCCATTGCTATTTTAATTGATGCCACCCACCAGTACAGACTTCTCTGGAAAACTAGGTCTTTGTGTAATGTGTCCAAAGTAGGATAATTTGAGCCTGGTGATTTGTGCATCAAGTGAGAACTGGGTTGGTTTGTTTGATGAACCATTTGTTTGTTTGTTTGGCTGTCTACAGTATTCTCAGGAGTCTTCTCCAATACCAGAGTTCAAAAGCTTCAATATTCTTCCAATCCTGCTTCTTTAAAGTCCAACTTTTGCTTCTATAGAATATCACAGGAAATGCCACTGTTTGCACTAGTCTGATCTTTGTAATTGTAGACACATCATGGCATCTGAATATCTAGGATATAAATGAATATATAAAATATCTTATTGAGATATCCTGTACTTTCAATATTAGTTTATAATAATTATAAAGAAACCATCTCAAATGGTTTGCATGATATGCTTCTTAGCCAGTATCTGTTTATTCTTTTCCCCAATAGATTCATTACTCTTGGTGGCTGACCGTTTTGATGGACCATCTAATGTAGATATTGTAATTGGTACAATTCATGCTAGGATTGCGGAAGCCATTTCAAACATGCAAGAAAACAAAGAATCTATAACAGCCAAGGTAAGAGCTAGATTGTGAGGTTCAGAATATAAATTTACCTCTTATCTATAATTATTTAATTGCCTATATTTTTCTTATTTTTTCCCCCTGGAACTTGAAGTGGTATTCGTGGTATTTCTTGTAAACTATCACCCAAGCATCCCAAGTGCCTCTGAATCATACCCTGGGTATTTTTAGCCAGTGACATTCAAGGACAAGTTACCATGAGAGGATTCCATTGTTTCTACTAATAAAAAATAGACGTGTTATGGCTGCCATTCTTCAGTGCTCAACAGGTGGAAATGCCACTTTTACTGTCATATGAGAAGTATTAAACCCCAGACCTGTCACCTTTAATTTGTATGTGTTGGCTGGAATGTGTCTCCTTTCCAACACAGGAGCTGAGCCCACTTCTCCTGAGACATTCATCAGTCTCTTCCTCATCACCTTTGGTTTCTGAACATTTTTCATAGCTGTGTTTCTGAGCAGAATGTGATATTTTAGTCCAGCATAAAAGGAACTTGCTCCATCACAAGTCCAAAAACTGCCGTTCCCCATCCAATTGACCCTGATGTGAACAACAGCATAATCTGAGTTCCTGGAGCCCAGCTATTATTCCTGTGGGTTGAAAGAACTCTAACAGCTGCTGAAGGAAAGTGCAACAGGAACTGACTAGCAAGTAAATAAGTCACCAATAGGCTGGCAGAAGGAAAAAAAGAGGACATAGTAGTGCTACATAAAATACAGTGATAATATAATCTAGTATAAAGCCATCAGTTCAGAGAGTGAGCAAGGCCTCGAAATCCATTATCATCAGAGTGTTAAGCAAATCAGCAAAAGAAAGCTCTAGGCTGGGTTTTTTTAATCATGCTAATTATTAGCCATATATGAAATCCCATACTGATACTAGTTTCTGAGAGCTTAAAGAAGTTAGAAAAACAGAGCTAGTTCTGCCACACATTTTTAAATCATCCTTCTGAAACAAACAAAACAAAAACATAACATTTTTCTGGTCTGAAATAGGTTGGAAATCAGAATGTCCTCATATTTGAAATGAATTGTAAGTAAATATAATATTGATGAAGTAAGCGTTGTGCAGATGTGATTTAATAGAAATTTCTTTTTTTGAGATGTGGTTTTCTTTGTTTTTCCCAGATTTTTCAAGGTTGTGGAAATCCCAAACTCAATACAAAAGCTGCCAATGTTGAAGATAAGAAGAGGCGGGGAAAATATGTCAATGAAGATAAACCTTCCGGGCTTAGTTCAGAGAAATTTGTGAGTGCAAACAAAGTGTTCACTTGATAGATTCTGCACTAGAACTGCTTGTGTAGTCTGTTGATCAAAATGCTCACTGGGTCTTGAGAGTATATTCATTATGTCACGGAATACATCTAAGTACAGTATAGTTTCAGTGTGGGGTCTTATTACATTGGAAGAATACACATCAGTAATTAGTACAAATGAAAATCAGCACCCTTTTAGCCAATCACCAAAATATACTTTTTAGACAAACTATATCCTTAACATCCCCTCTTACCCATATAAGGAGTTGTTTTTCACTTACTTAGGCTCTCAGCAAGTAAAAATGTTTCTGTCTCAACTAGTAATAATAGGCAACTCAGACACATAGAGGACATACTTTACAATAACAATGAATTACACTATTTTATCGTATATTTTAGAGATGTGCAAAACTGTTCATGTACAAAGTGTCTTTTTTTTTTTTAATTGGTTCATGCCCTAGTAAAAATATGCATGTTTGGCCTCCATATGGAACAAATGGTGCTGTTTTGTTCTGGATATGGACCAAAATAATTGATCTGGGCAAAAGTGTTCAAACAGGGAGTGGGAGAGTCCTTGGCAATAGTAGTGGCTGACTGAAAGCAGGGCAGGGAGGGAAATGAATATAGCACATTGGGACATCAGCAGTCAAAGCTGAAGGAGGGCAGGGAAGGACAGGACAGGACAGGCACTGGGAATACCTGGATTAGTCAAGTTAGTGGGATATTCAGCACTGAGTCACTGGTAGCTGAGGTAGGGAAAGAAAGGAAGAGAAGATGCTGGAAGATTTGGGGCAGAAGAAACAAGGGGATATGATGTAGTAGAATATTGGTAGCAGCAAAGGGGAGGAAAAGCCATTGAGAACAGGCATACACGTCATGCAAAGGAGGCAGTAGTAGTACCATGTATCTGTGGTTCTAAAGGAAAGGAGAGAGGGATACCAGCCTTGCCCTACTCACTGTGTAAAATCATTCTGGGGGTTCAGCTAAACCACAGCCAATCTGGAACAGTTTGATAGAACATAATACGTTTGCAAAATGCATACAGTTAGCTGATGGGTTGAGTCTCTCCAGATCTTGTCCAACATCTAAATACGACTAGCATTGGCAGCAAAATTCCCCAGTATTATTAACATAAGACTCAAACCAGGTGAATGTGATCTGCACTACTTTGTATCTTCCTCTGAAAGATATTTAAATAGAATTATATTGCTCTCAGTTGAAAATTATTGCTTCAGTGTGCAATGAAAGTGCCTGAACTGTAAATATTTTTACTGTGGAGTAGCCAGTTTATTTTCCTTAGTACTCTCTTGAAACATAACCTTTCTCCTCCTTTTGTTTTGGGGTGTCTTTCAATAGCATCAAATTCCATTTCCATCACTAGCCTTTATTCAAGCCTAAAGAATTCTCACATCAGTCACATTCTTCAAAAGAAACAACCACACAACTTTTATTTACTTATTTGCTTTATTTAACTATCACATGTATTATTCCCTTTTCATTATAATTGCACGAATCCAAACAGAAGTGTAAACTAGGCTTAAAATCATAAAAATATGAAGTCTTCATCAAATATAAAAAGTGCTATCTGAGAATCTTGTCCCTGAAAGCTGGCGTCATTAAAGATTTCTTGGTCTGTATTTAACACACGTTTCTGAGTCTATAATTTCTTGTTTTCCCACCTATTCTCTTTAAGTATCCTATTCCCTTTCTCAGTAATCTGTTTCAGAGCAAAAACTGAGCAAGATCTGCACATGCCCTCCGTGGCATAAAGCCATAATGGTTTTCCTAAATTTTGCTCCATGTCATCTCGTACCCTTTCAGTCCCAATTCTTGCAAACATCTTCCCTGCTGCACTTATACTAATCTTCCTGAAGCCTTTGCCTTTGCCCTTGCCCTTGTGACTTTTACCTTTGTAGAGGGGAAGAAAACAGGCATTCTTTCAAGTCTCAGTCAGATATGCAATCTTCACACATTTAAAAAAGTCATACAAACACATCCATAAGCAGACCACATCTGCTTATACCATTTATATCTGCACCCTGCCATTTTTCCACTTTCTTACAGCATTTATACCTTTTCATCCATTTTTTTCTTTGATACTAACAGTTATTCCCATATAAATCTCAAAAATACTCCTTCCAGTGTTCCTTCAGTTCAGTTTCATCCCAAATCATCTCATCACTTTTATTTTTAATTTCATTCACTCTGCTGGAGGCCCCTTGTTTAGCCCTCTTCGTTTGCTTCCAAAACATTTTTTCTAGCAGTATTGCTCTGCATTTTCTCTCCCTCTTTTAATTTTAACCATTCCTTGCTCTTTTTGGCTACATTGTTTGCAACTTTTTCTTTTTTATACACCTTATATCCTTTTTTTTTTTTTTTTTTGCAGAAGTCCTTTTCTTGTGTACAATTTTTCCCATTCACAGCCTATTCCACTTTACCATTTCATCAAGCGTCTTTTTTCATACTTTCCATCTGCATAACTAATAGAGTCCTGCGGCACACTATGACATTATTTTCACTCTGTTCCAAGCAGCTTCCTCTCTCCTTGTGCCTGTTTTCTGTTCATTTTCTTGGAACACTAATCTGTCTTTTAATACTTTTTCCTACAGGACTCATAGTTTCTCTTCTTGCAATCATTCTACTTCAGCTCTTGTTTCTTTCATTTTTTCCTTGTATTTTCATGGCCATTTTTTTCCTAGTTCCACTCCTAACTTTACCAAAAATGGCCTGTCCATTCAGAACCTCTTATCAACCTTGTATCCTTCACTAATTGATTTGTAAATTATCAAATCAATCATGCATTTAGGTTTATATTCAGTCCTTTGCCCTTTGTATGTGTAAATAGACTTCTGCTTTGAAACAGCCTTTTTTTTCCAAGCCCCAAACAATAACCATTCTCATTCATTTTAAGTCTCTGAATGATTCAGTCAGTTCTTTGGCACTTTCTTGTCTCATTCCCACCCTTCCATTCATTAACGTAACAGAATAAAAACAAATTTCCTCCAGGGTCAATTTATTCAGAATGCTGCACTATTTTTCCCCAAACTCATTTCTGGTTCACAACTGCCATTCACCTATGGATTCCTGCTTTCATATGCACCCATATTAGCCTAGGTGAAATGTATTTTATCATCTTAATGCATAATTAAACCTACACTTTCAGTTCCTGGCATGAATTCATCAATGCCACTCCACAAGATCAGACCACCTTTATTCAGATCTATTACATCCTTGCCCTTTCTCTTAGTTTCACAGTTACACAATGTAGCCTTTTTTTCATTTCATTTGTTAATGTATGCCCTTTCCCATTTACTCCTCCTCCATGTCACAATCTATATGCCATTGTTATCATTAGATTGCCCGACAGATATTGACCTCTGACACCCATCATGGCTTTGGACAATCAAGGCTTTCACATAATACTTTTTAATAAAATAGAGGAGGTATAGACTGGCTTACTAGCCTTGGTTGTATCCATGCCGTGTGTAGCATTCTCAGATAATGGTAAGGACAGTATTGATCAGTTTGGGACAGTATGCCACAAATACAACCAAAAACCAATTTTATCTCAAGCATGCCCATACCATTTTATACAAGCTAGCATTTCTAAGCTGGAGATTTCCTTGTAAGCCAACTTGCTATGTAATGACACTCAGGATATGGTAAAATACCATATCTTTAACTGTTGTTATATACTCAAACAGATAACAGTTCAGGGACAGTTACAGCAGCCTTGCATTGTTTTTACTCACATCACAATATTTGAATGCTCTGGCATTTAAAATGTAAAGCTGTTTGTGTTAAAATGACTTCTTCAGTCTTAATTATTCTTCATGCTGACAGGTTTCAGATGCCAAAGGGAAGCTGAGGGAAGTAAGGGACTTCTGGGCTCTCCTCCCAACAACACTTTGTAATGAAAAAATATCCCCTGGTTCTGTGAATGAGGACAGGTGCTGGAATGGAATGACCAAAGGCAGGTAAGTCTAATCAGTTGTGAAATAATAAAGCCCATTTAAGTGTATGAAATAGTTTAAAACATTTATATCTCATCTATGCTTCAAAACATTTTAGGCAATGCATAACAAAGAAATATTTGAAATTTTCCTTTGTAATAAGTATATTGATACACAACAATCAAAACTTTTTAATTTTTTTCCTCTTTTTTTTAAAGAACACATTAAAACAACATATAAAATTTCTAAATGGAGGCCTCCCTTGAAAATATTTGCCAACTTTTGGGAATGTGTTAATGGAAAAAATGAGATGGGCCACCTTTGCACATGACTTATAGGGTGTGACACAGTCCCCAGAAAGTATCAGCTTCTCCTTAGTGCCAACCAAACAGACCTTGGAGATTGTTGGGACATATAAGAGAGCCATCAAAAAGAACTTCCGTATGTAGGCAAGTTGATATAGAGAAGGAACTCCTCAAATAACCAGGTCAAAAACCATTCAGTGCTTTAGGGATCATCAGAAGCAATTGTACCAAGCAACACTGGGAAACTCCTACTCTCATCTGACACTTTTATGAAGTTTTAGAGCTTGGAAAAGTGAATTTCTATTTCAGAGGTTGGTAGGAGGGAAATCAGATGAGACAGGCAATGTCATAATTCATTGAGATCTCATCTTTTTCTTTATTTAGACAAGACCCATGCAAGCAGATAAAGAAGCTCAAAAGAGAAGAGTGGATTTGGACTAATTTAAAAAGTCTGAGGCAGCTGACCACAAAAATCACTGATATTTTATTTCCATTTCCCTAAGTCATTGTAACTGCCTTTGAGAGCCATCTGGGAAGGCTGCTTTCTTCTAAACCAAGGTTTCTCAACCTTGACAATTTTAAGATGTGTTGACTTCAACACTCAGAATTCCCCAGTCAGCATGGAGAGTTGAAGTCCACACATCTTAACGTTCCCAAGGTTGAGAAACACTGATTAAACACTAGAATAAATTTGGCAGTTATCAGAAGAGGAAGCCCAGTAACACAACTGTCAGCTTCTCCAGGCAGTGGGGGACTTGTGACCTCTCTCAAATTTGATATTTCCTCCCCCCACCCATGAAAAGCTGATTCACTTTCAGAACCCAGTCTTACTCTGGGGCCCTCTTCCTCTTCCAGCTCCAAGGACAGGGACAAGTTCTCCACAGGCTCCAACATTTCCGTAGGTATACTTCTATACTGGCTCTTCCAGGTTACAAATGTGGCAGACAGATCAAGCAGGATGGGGCATGAAATGAGGAGGCAATTCAGTGTTCTTCCACACTCTCAGGGCTGTACCAAATTCCCTGGGCAGGGCTGAGCCTGGAGGCAGCTACACTGCTGGGCCCTAGCCAAAAGAGAACCTAGCAGATGTTCACGTGAATCATTCATGCCCAAAGGAGCTTTGGCTAGATTTATACAACACAAAGAGGAGATAGTGAGTAAAACAATTACTTTTCACTTTCTGCTGTCCTTACTGGTTTAATTTTACCACTTTTCTTTCGCCACTTTTCCTTGGTAACTAGTTAGTAGGTAACAATAAGAAAAGAAAAGAAAATGGGAAATCAGAAATAAAAAGAGCAGATTAGGCTCCCACCCACCCAATAGCTCTGGTTGGATCCCCAGAGAAATGCCATGAAGTCCAGTTCTCCAGAATTAGCTTCCAGCATGAACACATATATACTCTTTGCAGATACCTTCCAGATGTGATGGGAGACGGTCTAGCCAATCAGATCAATAACCCAGAGGTTGAGGTCGACATCACCAAACCAGACATGACTATTCGCCAGCAAATCATGCAACTGAAAATTATGACAAATCGATTGCGCAATGCATACAATGGAAATGATGTGGATTTCCAGGATACAAGTAGGTACAATGCTGAGAAAGTGGGACCATTCATAACATTTTATGTTCAGTAAGCAAAAGAGAGGTTTATACACAGTTGTGATACACAGCTTCTCAGAGCAGAGGAAAATTATCCCTCTCTGTTAATTTTTACCCTGGAAGAAAGCACTCCCCCAGTGTCAGGAAGCACTAATGTTTATTTATAACCAGCATGCTTTTATTCTTCTCTGGGGTGTTGGCTTGCTATAGCCATACTTTATGCAGGCATCCCCAAAATGTGCACATCTACAAACTTACAACTCTCATACACTAATCAAAATTAATCTGAGATAGAGAGATAGAGATAGAGATAGAGATAGAGATAGAGATAGAGATATATCTGTCTGTCTGTCATGTCACAAAACTAAATTAACATTTATATTACTTTATTTAATATTAGGAACAAAGGGAAGTCAATCATATAAATTGTATAAGCAGGACACCTGTCAGGAAACTATTTGTTCAAATACAAAAAGAGAGGTGAGCACTTCAGACCACTGTATAATAGAGAGTGAAAGTCCTTTCAACCTTGTAGTGTTTCTTTTCTCCCCCCCCACCCCCACTTTTTTGGGGAGGAAATCTAACAGTACTTAGTGTCAATTTCTGTTCTCATTTTCTTAGTGTCCAGTCCATTGGTATATAATTTAAGAAAATATGAGCATCCGCAGAAACCAGTGAGTCATCCAGAACAAGATTAATATGTGAAATAAATTCTGCCCCAAAGAGAGCCCCTATAGCACAAGAATTCTTATAACTGATTTAAGAATCAGTTCTTAAAAATAACACTCCTACAGCAACCTGCTGGAATGAAAACAGTTCAGCACTGATGGAATAAACTTGCTTCCCATCTTTCCCAAATATAACCTGATGCAGCAGTTTGTAATTATAGAACTAGAGGATAGTCCTTATTTCAGATTAGTCAAGACAGAATGCACTATCTAGTTCTTTAGTTTAATCCAAGATCCCCAAGCATTTTTGACTGGTGGGCAGATATGAAGTTTTAAGATCATATAATAGATGGTGTTTCAAAATTGCTACATTGCAGGGTGGGGGCTTACCAAGTAGTTGTCATGATAGGCATGGTCAGTCATGAAATATTCATTTTCCAGGCAAAATAATGAGGTTGCTCACCACCAACCCCCCAGCCCCTATGATGTTCTCTGCCTCTTCAGCTTTCCATTTGGTTCTGAGGAGATTAGCATACTTCCAGAGATATGTACTAGGATGTAGCACCTTCCTTGTAGCCACCCACTATTGTTAATTTCTAGGACTACCCATGGAGTCTATCTAGGAACTACTGACATTTTGGAAAGGAAAGATTATGCTGGAAGTGAATCTAATTCTGCATTCCTGTGTTCTGCATGACAGGCAGTTGCAGTTTAACTTCTACTGCCTTTAGAACAAACACATTGTCAGCACTTCAGCCTTTTTAAGAAGTATCACACTAATTTGAATTTTGCTTTGGCCAGGTGATGACATCAGTGGTTCTGGAAGTGGTGATGGCTGCCTGGATGAGGTCTGCGGCAAAAGACTGTCCAAGAATTCTAGCACCAGGCCACCAGAGATACATCCTATGCCTAAACAGTCAGGACAAGGCATTGGTGGAAATAGCAGCAATGTACTTTTGCCTTCATACTTCCTTTTATTACTTTCTTTGGCTGCTATGGCAGCCCAGTGCCTGTGGCGGTAACTTGTTTGAGCAGCTGCAAAAGAAACTGTAGTGGCTGAGTCTTAACTTTGCCAAAAAGGTGGACATATTTAATTCAACTTAATTCAACTTGGCAAAATGAGAGAGATGAAAGTTCTTTATGGTTTGTGATAACCTGGCAGTGCTAGAGTTGGTTTTTTCCCTTTCTTTCTTTCTTTCTTTCTTTCTTTCTTTCTTTCTTTCTTTCTTTCTTTCTTTCTTTCTTTCTTTCTTTCTTTCTTTCTTTTTCTTTTTCTTTCTTATATTAGGCCTTTCCTTCTGTCCTCCATTTAAAAAACCCTTTAATTTGCCAGAAAGAGATACCTAGGGGCTATGACAGATCCTGGCAGATAGGTTTAATGAACAGAACAAATATCCCCCCCCCAAGGCAACACCATTTTCATTGACTGAAATAAAATATGCAATATCTCATATTTTTATTTAACTGTAGCCAAGAGTGCATTATATTGGTTCAGAACAATACATCTTTTTAATTTATACAGTTTCAGATTGCTGTAAAAGGGTTTCAGCTCATAATTTTCCATTCACCAAAGGGCAAATAGTCTTTCCTTTGCATGGATGTAAGAGTATTATTTTGTACAAACTCAATTAATGAAGGAATTCGTTATCCTAGAATTTGGAACGAAGGTCCTTAATTTTGCAAATGTGTTTGTCTGCTAAAAGTAATAATTGTCACCCACTAATATTATTCCCACACTCAGGGGAGCAGGAGTAAAAGATTTGGGTATTGCAGGATCCTTTGACAGTAGCTTTCAAGTTAAAACAAAAACGTAATACGGAGCTGTATATACAACACTGGTAGAGAAAGACATGGGAAGATGTCTGTCTAGAAAGCCTTCTGAGCTAGAGGCTGAAAATCTTCCTATTATTAATAAGTGTGACAAGAGTCAATATTTACCAAAGGGATAATACAAAGAAATTATTTTGTGATTTTTGTGTGTCTGTATTATTATCCTGTAATCAAAATTAGAAGTTGCATGAATTGATGCGCCTAGGGCCCAGTTAGATACTATCAAATATACCTAGAAATTTATCAAAATTTCTGCTGAGTTTTTCAAGGAAACCTGCTCACAGTTATGTTGGTGGAAAGAGTAAGCAGAGCCAAATTATCCCATATTATGTTGGTTTAATTAACTTAATGCCTATCAGATCATCAATTTTGCAAACTTTTCTTAAATATTGTTATTATATGCCAGATCTGATATGAGGATGATTTGGATAAGGATATAGAAAGAGAGAGCCAATCACAGGTTGACACCAATGTGTCCACACATGTATTTCTTTTGGGGCATTTGTGCTTATACAACTCTCTGCTTTGGGTCCTGAGCTTTACCTGTAAGCATTTATTTTTCTCTTTTTTCCAAAATTTTGTTATATCAAACCAACCCTACCATTTTGACTGATTAACAGGAAGACTTGAAGTGAACTTTGATGTTAATTCACTTTATTTCATATCATAGCTTCTCTTAGGGAAGCAAGTGATATGAAAGCATAACTTTTTTTAAAAATATATAGGCTTTTCATAAATGCTGAAATCTTTCTATTCTTTGTCTTAAAGCAAAAATGAATGTTGTGTTTCTTAGGAACAGCCTTCAAAGAGGCAGAAGCTGTTATCAATTCTGAAACATTCCTAGTTACAAACAAGGAAACCATTTCTAGCATCTTAGCATTCAAAGGGATGAGACAGAGAGTGCAAGCAAATGAATTCAGTTGAAGTATTCTGGTTCTGTTTTATTTAATACTGGAAAAAATTAGTTCCCTAATCACCCCATTCAGTATTGGAGGCTGTCTGAGATTTGAAAACTTGATTAACAAAGAGTGATGCCAGAAGGAATTCTTAGTTGCAAAGTACACCTAGTTTTGTACACATTATTTAAATCCCCTGTGAGTAAAACAGTACTCCCATCCACTTTCATTATTGATCTAATCTATCTAATACATTTATTTTTTATTTTCAGTTACATCATTCTTAAAATGAATGTATTCTTAAAGTGAATACAAATGAGGCATGGAAATCAAATATCCTGCCTCCTTTGAACATGCTTGAATGCCAGAGAAAGTGGAAAGTGCCACATTCAATTAGTGTTGTAAATGTATGTCTGTAAATACACAAAGAAATAAACTGCTATACATCATGCAGGGGAAAAAACATCTGCCATTTCCTTCTCTGAGTGAAAATCTGCCAACTTGCTGGAGAGCTGTAAACTTAAAACACTTTGGAGCCTTTTCTAAGACTCAAACTATGCGTGAAACTGACAATGTATTGGTTTTAAAAAACCTGAAGCCTTCCTGAATCATTTCTAAAAGAAAGGAATATAAAAAAAAATTGAGGTGAAAAGAGTAGGATTGTTCATGCTTCAAAAGTGATTTAGAAGAGGTCTTTGTGATGCATTGGGAACATGAACACAGTATCTCTTGGAGGTAGCTACATCATTTTTCAGACTTCCCTATTAACTCGATAATGCACGACTGTTTTAATTCATTACATTAGAGATGCACATTAGCAGTACTTTAAAAGGACAATTCATTAAAGCAGCCAGAAGCATGAAAAAAAGATACTGCCACTTTGAAAAGGTGCTGCACATGTCCCCACACGTTCTGAAGCACCTCTTTGAAATCATTGCTGAAGCACAGCCAGCCCTAGAAAAGAACATGGAGATGGGGATGTGTGGCCTTCTTCACTAGCTGAAAGACCACATGGAATTAAATTACAGCAGCAGCAGAAGTATCCTGTGCTTGCATGTCCTCCATGCTCTTAAATCTGACATCAGTTCTCTGCTTAATACGAAATTGGATTGATTTCAATGAGTCTGCCACCATCACCCATCATTTGAGCCCCGGTCTTTTGTCATGGGGTCAGAATTTTTTTTAGGTTTACTTTTGTTATGGCAGTGCTATATTTTGGTATTTAAAAACCTTATGCTATAGAGTGTGGTCCCCAAGCCTTTTGAAACCAGAAATGATATAATGTATTCTTTTCATGTGCCATAATGTCTGTTTCAGAAGGAGAAAGAGGTCAACAGAAGCTTTAAGAGCATTGCTATTTATCCTTTCAATGACAAAAACCTGTTGTTTTCTGGTGGGCTTGTTAAGGAGTTAAGATACAAATATATCCAGACTACATCTTGGCTTTAAAAAAAAGCAAAACAAAACAGAAGTGCAGTTCTGTCTGCAAAACCTAAGATTTATTTCACACATTGGCAAACTTGGTCATTTATATATTTCTTTTGGTTATCAAGTTACTTGTAACTACCTTGCACTGTTGAATTATGTTCTTTGAATCCTTGTATAAATAAATAAAAAAAGGCTGGAGACTTAAATATGTATGAATAGCATTTGAAGCAAGATGGTGTATTCTTTTGCTTTACAGAATTTCAACAATCCCCAACTGGTCTCATGAAAATCAGAGTGTACGCTAGACCACTCATAAAAATAGCAAGTGTTTTGCCAGTGTGGTGAAGTTCCAACATACATGCCCCAGCCAATCAGCATAACCATTCTATAGATGTCTACCTTGTCTCAAGGAAATGGTGTGAACTTTATTCAGAAATAAGAAATAAGTACAATTAGAATTGCAGGCACAATGTAAACATTTGGAGGCAAGGACGGGTCACTTCTTCTACAGGTCTATTGTCTGTGATGCCCCTAGTTTCTGCAAATGGTATGGCTTCCTCTGTGGAAAACAGATTTTTTTATTGCAATGAATCACATACATTCCCAGCTTCCTATGACTGAACTGTGGTTTTACCTTGAACAGATATCAAGCATTACTGAGTAATGCACCTGCCAGAACAGTCTGAGCCATGGAACAGTCATTATGCATTAGACACTGAAAAGAACAATAGCCATTGTTGAACCAATGTGTGGAAATGAAAATCACTATTGCTTGGGAGGGGCTGCTTGCCTGGGAATTCAACCTGAACAGGCTTTCTTTCCTCTTCAGTGATCTCTTCTCCTTGTCTCATCTCCATCCAATTTTGTTCTCTCTCGTTTCCTTTCTCTTCCTAATTTCCCTCTTCCTCTTTCCCCCATCTCCACCCAGTTTTCTTTGACATTTCTCCTGGAAGGAGGGTAGGCAATGTGTGTGTAGTCTGTTGTGGGTGTAATTTTTTGCATGCCATCTAAAGGTTATGTGCAGCTCTTTACCCAATAAACATTGCACATTCATAAGCCAGTTCATAATTAAAAACCTTTTAAGTGTTGCTCTCCACCAACTGGAGCTCTATGATTGACAGCCATCATTACCACATGCACACCCAGAGCACAGCTGTCATATTTCAGACAGTTCTCCATTCTAGTTCCAAAACAGTATACAGTATTAAATTGGCCAGAGAATGGGGATGGGCAGATTAATAGGCACTAAATTCATAAATTTAACTTCACAATTGGATCTGTGTGGCTTAGATTGAGATGCCAAGCTATAATGGTAGAAATCCATATAAAAAATGGGTGGGTGGCTCTCATATACAACTGGGGTGACTTGGCTGAGGCCAGAAAATGTTTTCTTGGGAGAAAAGGATTTGTATCCAGTCACTTCCTTCTGTCCTCAACACAACTATTAGGCATGTAATGGCAGCATACATTTTTCTCACAGGATCAGTTGCTTCTGCAAATATGATTCACCACTGGAGCAGGTCAGAAAACTGTGCCCCAACCAAGTCTAGATATTTCTTAACGTAAGTCTCAAGACAAGAAAATCTTTTTACTGCACTCATAATTTCAACAGCTTCACATCTAAACTGTTAGATACAAAGGTTCTATGTATAGCCTTCTCAAGAATGCCAATTTGTAGTATATATTCTTAATGTTGGTTTGAGTACCCAAGGAGCTCATGTAGGTATGTAAATGTATGCAGTATGTATTATATATGATAATCTGTTTACATATTCAATAGCAAATTCCTCTATCATCATGCCAAACTGTAGAATAAGTAACTCAATCTGAAGTTACTTAGTTATCAAGTAATTCAGTGATTTAGTTTGAATGCTATTGAGGGGAAGCTGGACAGATCAGAATTCACTGGGATCAGAGTGATCAAGAAAGCATTTCACATGAACTAATTAGTTATGCCAACCTTTAGCATCCTGTGAACCTAAGGAAGATGGCTCTGGACTAGAGGGTTTGGGAGCATTTTCAGGCAGATTGTCTCTGTGGGGCCTGGCACTCTGTCCAAGCCCACCTAAATATTAATACAAACAGCAAAAAAATGAGTCAATTAATGGAGGAAGGCATGTAAGAAAAGGCTATGTTTGCAAACATCTTCAGTTCTCTGTGTTGTGGCATGTCCCAGAATTGAGGAAAAACTATCAAAGCACTTTTAAAGATTGAATTTCTCTGGTAGATAGTCAGCCATATACATTTGTTAGATGAGACTGATAGATGTGTGTGTGTGTGTGTGTGAGAGAGAGAGAGAGAGAGAGAGAGAGAGCATGCACAGGTGGGGAGGGAGGATTGCTCTTCCTCCATTCTTGCTAACATATGCCTGGAAGGGTTTTGGCTTCTTTTAGAGACATTTAACCACTCTGTCTGGATGTATTCCTAGCCACCTTTGGTTCGAGTCCAGCCTTCGCGTTAAACAGGGTGAGCTCCTGTTTCCTCCCCA